AGGACCCCCCACCCTACATCCCACATCCTCACCGTCGCGCATCAACATCACCTACTACTGATCTGGGGAATGGCAGAAATGGAACCACCGGCGCAACTCCAGCGCACACGTGACTCGTGGGACGCCATGATCCAGGCGACGCCGCAAAACGGCGACGTGTGGCTGGTGATTCCCCGTTTTTTCTGGGAGCAAGTCTGTTCCACAGAAGCTGCCTCACTTGAAGAACTAGCCCAAAAGGTCGGTCGTTTGGATACCTCGCTGCTCGTGGACGAACACGGGGCCATGACGGCGGAAGACGAAAGCACGTGCTTGGCGGTGAAACCGGAGCTTTTCCACAGCTTGGCCCAGGTTTTCGGCGTCAACGGTGCTCCTGTGGCTCGAGCGATGATTGTGGACGAAAACGGCGTGCTGATCGAACGCGTACCTCCGCTTTTCGTGCTCCACGTCTTGGCCAAGGAGGCTAGTCCGCGTGCCCGGCCTTCTCAGGTGTTTTCGCTCTCGCTGGCCAGCACTTTTCAGCAGCTCCACGATACCGTCAGATCGCATGTCTACAAGAACCCACGGGCGGTGGCGCCGCTCCGGTTGTGGTTTATTGAGAACGAGGCGGCCCGCAACATGGCGTCGCAGATCTCCGTGGCGGCGTTCATCGACGCTCCGGCGAGAAAGTCCATCGTGACTCCGAACTTGTACGGCAGCACGCTAAGAAGCCAGGGCATTGAGGCGTCGAAGCTCCACTTGGTGGTGGAGCCGGCCGAACGGAAGACGTTCCTTGTTGACTCGTACTTGGCCAGCCACTCTGTGCTTGACTACGACGTCGTCACCTCTCTGGGAGGCCATTGCGGTCTCTCCAACTTGGGCAACACCTGCTACATGAACTCGGCGCTCCAGTGCCTCACCCACATCCCGGAACTCAACTACTATTTTTTCTTTGACTTGTACCAGCGCGAGTTGAACACCAACAACCCGTTGGGCTACAAGGGCGATGTGGCTGTGGCCTTTTCCAGTCTATTGCATAAGCTCTACGGCTCTGGCAGTCCGTCGGCTGTGACTCCGCGTGAGTTCAAGTACACTGTGGGACGGCACTCGTCTATTTTCCATGGTTTCCAGCAACAGGACTCTCAGGAGTTTGTTTCCTGGCTTTTGGATGCCCTTCATGAAGATTTAAACAGAATTCACCAAAAGCCATACTGCGAGAAGCCCGAGCTCAAGGACGAGGACGTCAACAACCCAGAGGCCATTAGAGAGTTGGCCGTTACCTGCTGGGATCAGTACAAAAAGAGAAACGATTCCGTCATTGTCGATTTGTTCACAGGCATGTACCAGTCCACGTTGGTCTGCCCCACATGCAACAAGGAATCCATGACTTTCGACCCTTTCAACGACTTGACGCTTCCTTTGCCCGTCAACAAAAAATGGTACCACGAGCTCATCATCGTCGACCTCTCGGGAGACCATGCTGCCTCCGGAAGACAGCCACTCTCGAGGTTGGAAGTTGAACTCAACAAGTCCTCCAACTTTGACGATTTGATCAACTACATCAGCAGCTTTTTGCATGTACCGGCCGAGCATCTCTTTTTGTTCGAGCTCTTCTCGAACTTCTTTTATAGAGACTTCCAGGAGAACAGTGCCGCTTCAAAGTTTTACCCCATCAACGAGCTCATCAACGAAAAGGATATCGTTGTGGCCTACATCATCCCACATAATCCCGAAACCGATGTGATTGTGCCTGTGCTCAATACTGTTCGTGAGGAAGATTCCTCGTACGACATAGCAGACCCATTTGGCATTCCTCTCTTTGTTACCTTGAACAAGGAAACTGATGTCTTTAGTTTTGGAACTGTCAGAGAGAAGCTTGAGCAGACTGTGAAGCTCCTCACGAACGCTGATATGGAAGCAAGTTATAAAGAGATCAAGGGTGACTGCAATGGCTCTCGCTTCAAAGCTGACAGCTTTCCATTAATTCAAAGAGAGCAAAGGGCATCTGCTGATCTCAACATGGCTGACGCGGATGCGGAAGTGCAACCAACAGATGAAGATTACGACTCTGATATCTCGTTGGCCCATCCACAAATTGGTGCCGATTTCGGCTTCACAATCAAATACTACGAGGAAGATGGCACCCGCCATGTCAACACGCGTGGTCCAAGAAGGTACCAGCCAGGTATGAGAATGCGCTATCAGCTGCAGCTTCTGGAGGAAAGTGACCCCAATAGACGTCCGCTTCACATTCCTCAAGGCAGACCTTCCTTCTTCAAGTTACCATTGTTGGCAGAAAAGCTTCCTGAGCTCAAGCGCAAGTACTATCATTACCCTGAGTATGCTGCAGAAATGCAAAGGATTGAAACCACCAAAAATGAGACTTCTGAGGAATCGAATTTCGCTGAGCCGGAGCCCATCTCGATTTTGCACAACAGGCAAGAATCTGTGGAGGCAACGGGAGGAAGTGACGCCAATGATAGAGCTCAGCTGGACGAGGATGAAGATAGCGATACAAACTACGAAGACATCGAACCTTTAGGCCAGGATTCGCTCAGACCACCGATCCTTCCCCCATTGCCATCAAGCGAATCTGACCACGAGGCAAACAGCGTGGACTGCAGCCCTCATCATGAGGATAGAGCCGAGGAGGCTGTCAAGCAAGAAAAGGTTAAACCTCTTTTAGTCAACAGCAAAACCACTCTCGTCTGCGAGTGGGACTCAGAAGTGTTTGACCGTTTCTTCAAAGACCGTGACCACCAGGCCTGGGAGGAATTGTCATATATCCCTAATCCTGTTTTGGAAGACAACAAACGGAAATTGGCGATGCAGCAAAAATCGACTGTCTCCCTCTACGACTGTCTCAGGAACTTCAGCACCCCAGAAGTCTTGGGTGAACAGGACTTGTGGTACTGCCCTCGCTGTAAAGACCACAAGCGTGCCACGAAAACCATTCAGATCTGGTCTACCGGAGATATCTTGACTATCCACTTGAAGAGATTTTCTTCTGCCAGAGCCTTCAGCGACAAAATCAACATGGTTGTCGACTTCCCCATTGAAGGTTTGGAGATGAACAAGTTTGTCCAGAACGGAACGGGTGAACCTCTCATATACGACTTGGTCGCTGTCGATAATCACTACGGTGGTTTGGGAGGTGGTCATTACACGGCCTACGCCAAAAACTTCAGAGATCAAAAGTGGTACTACTTCAACGACAGTGGAGTCAATGAGGTGAAGGATCCCCGTGAATGCATCAAGGGAGCTGCCTATCTTTTATTCTATAAAAAACGCAAGCTGTCCGCATTTGCCGGCGGTCAGTCCGTGGAGCAGCTTTTGAATGAAGGTCGCCATTCTTTCGAGGCTAAATTGCAAAACTTGAAGGAGCAGCTGGTAGCTATCGGACAGCAAGTCGAACTCTTTAATCAAGCCCGAGACGAGATAATGCAGCGTGCCGAAGCTGAAAGGCAAGCAGCTGCTGAACAGCAGCAAGAAGCGAATGATGAAGCGATCACTTCCAGCTCCGATGAGGATGACCTCTACGCTGACGCCAGCACCAAAGGTCCAAGAAAAGTGAGGCCAACTTTGGTGCTGCCTGGCAACACTGATTTTGAAAATCTGCGCAAGCAGCGCTTGCTCTCAAAAGGAGCCGACCTGCCTCGGTCTGTCAACATCAACCATGACTATTCGTCATCCGTTTCCAACCTTGCCAGCCCCATTGGGTCGAGCGGCGAGGTCGAGCTGCCCTCCAAGGAGGATAACACATAGCAGGCGTAAACAGCTAATCGAAAAAAAGCCTGAATTAATTAAGCTGCTCTTTCGTAGGCCAAACTGATAGCCTTCCGCAAGGTGTCTAGCGTGACATTGGCGCCACCGCCGGCAATACTAACATGCTTTAGGTTCTTTTTGGATGCAACAATGTTGATTTTGCTTTCACAGCTCGCCTCCTCGGCTTCGCCTTCCAAATCAGCCAAAAGGGCAACCTGGCCGGCAGCGTCGTCAATCTCGACCAAGCCGAAACTAGACGAAGTGGCCAACTCGTCCTCGTTCAATTGCAAAGGCGTAGCAATCTCTTTATTGGAATCAATGCAAAAAGTGCTGGACAGCTGGTCCAAATGGCCAAAATTGCCTCTAGAGCGAACAGGCACTCTAACGTTGGGATCGACGCCCGAGTCAGCAAGGTAGATCCTGGGAAGCGAGACGTTCTTCAAGGCGTTTATTAGAGCATGGCTCACCACATCGAAAAGCGGTCCGTCTCTGGAAAACACCTTGATGTGGGCGTAGAGAGCAAACTTGTGCTGTTTTTTGCTGACGTTGACGGTCGAAAACAACGTCAGAATCTCGTCCTCGCTCAACGACTTGTCGTCTGGGTAGATGATGGACACCTCTCCAGAAGCCTCGTCCTTGATTTCGTAACCTGGTTTGATGTCCAACGACAGGTACGGAAGGATCCGCAGGTGGTAGACGAAATTGTACAATTTTTGCAGGAGAATCTGCTCCTCGTCACTAGGAGCACCCTGTCTTCCTCTGGCAACCTCCACCACAGGATACACCGAGGTGTACTTTGACGATTCCGGCTCAGCAGCTGCAAAGTCCTCGTCCAGGTTGTTCACTTCGCTTATACCCAAAGTGATGCCGCAGAAAACATGACAGCCGCCGTGTTTCACCACAGAAGAGCCCACAACGGCGTCTGTGCTGACGTTTCCCAAGTTACCTTGAGAAGCCACAACCTGGCGAAATTCTGTGAATTCACGCAACGAGGGTCTCAAGCCCTGGGACAAGTGTCTTTGGAGCGTGAGCTCCGGGGATATTCTCGCCAACACCGAAGGCGGAAACACAATCAGCTGTTCGGAAGCCATTAAGGAAGAAGATGTAGCTGAGAAGAGGTGTATGCGATGGGTGTAGGGTCACGTGTGAGGATTCTGGAGGGGACGCTTTTGGGTGTCCAACGCTTGTGGGGGCTGTTTTGGAAACGATTTGGGGTGTTTGTGGAAGAGGTTGTTGGAATTTGTTTCTGGGTGGGATTTGGCCGGATTCTGGTGGGTTGATTTGATGGTGATGGTAGGCTCGATGGCTGCGAAAAGTTGACAAAGTACGAGATGGACTGGTAGATGAGCAGGAGCCGGGGATCGAAATGGTGATAGATTACTTTTTACTTTTTTCCTTCTATTGTTTCGTTCTTTTGGTATCCTCGCCTCTTTGACTTTGTCTAAATTGCTTACCCATGTTGGTCTCATCTTCCTTCTGAAAGGGTATAGTCAAGCGATGAACAAATAGTCCATACTTGGTGCCGCAAGTCACATAATCGAGGGGTCTTGTTGGATTTTGAAATTTAAAACACTGAGGTTATTTTTCTGGTTTGCTGTAAATGAAATTGACTATGAAGGTCAGTGAACCTAGGACAGAAATGGAAAGCAGAGTGTTCCAAAATACATGCAATCCTACTTTTCTTTCTACTTTTCTTTGCAATAAAACCTTAAAAGTTCCATTTCTTTCAATCCCTAATTTACTGTACTTCAAGCTTTCAAAGCTCCTTCTACGGCTAGTTTATCCTTTTGCATTCCTATTTATCTCCTCGTCGCCATCCCCTTAAACCAGAAGATACTTGAAGATGTTCTCCTGCGTGAGCTTGCTGTTGTCGTGAATGGGCTCCTTGGACTTCCCTACAACGTGGTGATCCAGTCTTCTCAAATCCTTCAAACTGCCAGGAATGGATGGTGGAGCACTAGCCTTTGTGATATCCTTGCAAGTCTTCTTCTTGCGTGACCGTACGATCTGCCACTCACCGGATTCCAAAAAATCTTCATTTTCAATTAGGAAATTCTGGTTTACGCTGGTGCTTGTTGCTTCTTCTGTAGCGGTACTTTCTAGCGAATTCTGGTCAGTCCTTTCAGGTGACTTCTGGTCTGGAAGCTTCGAGGCTGAAAACTCCAAAAAAGAGTTTGTTTGCTTGGGGCTTTCACAATCGAAAAACTCGTCGTTGCTTGAACTGTCTGACTGCTTGTCCAATTGAACAGAAGGTAATTGTGTTGCAGTTGGAAGCGGAGGCTTCGTTGATGTTTCGGAACGCAGCAAAAGGTAGAGTGGCCCAAGTAGCCAATTCTCCAAGTTTTCAGGAAATGAAGCAATTCTTCTGAAAATGCTGAGGACGAATCCCTTGCGCTTTTGCTCGGCTGCCTTCATGGCATTTATGTTGGTGGAAAGGCGGAAGAACGTAGAAAGTCTGCTCATGGTTTGTATTAGTGGTGGGTGATGAAATACAAGGTAGAGAGGAAGTGTCGTATTTATGCTTCGTAGTATTCTACGGTGAATGACCAGGGGGTAGTTTTTGTTGAAGAAGGAAAGTGTAGCGCTGGACTTGCCTTTTCCCAAGGAATGGCGTTTCCCTCTCTGGACAAATTAACTTAGATAAGTGTTAACAAGAGCTCGAAGAAACCACAACCATTGAAATGACAAAAGTGTTCTTACCATTAGAAGCAATGCAACGGGAGTCAGTCTCATCACTCTGGATAAATTTGCTCATAGAGTGTACCGATGGATTCGACGGTATATCCGAATTAGTGCATTTATGATTAGTGGAAAAGAAGAAGGTCAATCACGATAAAATCAGCTATTCGCTTGGCTGACTCCATGGTAGAACTAGAATTGGAGTTGCAGGCTTCCCACTTTGATAGTCCCCCTTAGCGCATACCCCAAGCACCATCACTCAAGCTACTACACAAGATGTAAATTCTCTTACTCATCCAGTGATTCTCTTCCAAATCCCAAGCATTCATCATCTTTAAAAATCCATCATCTCTTCTTCTTCCAAATTGAAGCCTTGAAACCACCAAAGCCCGGGCTCCTCGTCTCAGAAACATCTACATTACAGAAGCCATCGCTTTAACCCCAGCACGCCCCCTTTTCCCCAAAACAAGCTTCCCACCGAAACCTCCAACCCAGAAAACACCCCAAACGCCGAGAAGTTCCTACTTTTCTCGGTCAGTCGATTTTTCAGCCGGTGCTGGGCTCACGGGAATTTGCAACTGTATGGTGCATACGCAGAATACCCAGAAATTTGCTGAGCCTCCCACCAAACACCGACTGATGAAGGAATCAAAAAAAAAAAGCAAAGGCCAAAGTAATAATTAAAGAACATAAAAGAAGACAATCAAAGTAATCGCAGGATCCAACTTGGGCCCAGAAAATAGCCCCCAAAAGCCGAATCCATTAACCCTACTAGGCAGTGGTAACGGTCTCTGGCAACCGACGCATGCACCAAACAGGAAAAACTACCCTGCCGTTTAGCCGCCAGATCACCGGGTGACTCACCTCCCATGGGCTAACTAAACGATATGAAGAGAATAGAAAAGGATAAAATAGAGATTGTAATAAGAAAAAAAAGAAAATTAAAGTAACCAAAACCACCACCCCAGAAAACCAGCAACAGATCCAAACCCTTCAGTCCCAGAACCCTATCTTCACCTCCCGATCCCTATTGTACCTTATCTACCGAAGAGGCCCAATCACAACGGGGCTCATTGTCCCCACCTTCCATGTTCCCGCGCCGGATGGCCGTTGACCACCTCGGCTCATGTGAAGACACGGCTGACACGTGGAGATCTGGGGATTTTTCAAAACACCATTTTTCCAACCCATTTTGCTGTTGCTTCCAGTGGAAATCGTCCTCGTGGTGCTGGCTGATAAGGAACGAGCACAATACCGGTGTGCAGCGGCCCCGCCAGATCCTTATCAGCGGCCCAGACGGCCCAGAAAATAAAGTGAAATTTTTTCAAAATTTGCCTAGTTTCGCTAAGATCCCCCGACATGGCACCTTTTAAAAAGCTCCATGGCCCCCGCCTTTTATCAACCCACCTTCCCTTCGCCCTCAAAGCCTTATCTATCACTCTGACTAAAGACCCGCAGCGATTGGACGATTTCGACGCTGGTACTGCACATAACCACCAGGTGCCCGCGGGCAGCTGCACTGCAAACAATGGTGCGCCCGTAACTATGACGCCTCCATATGCCTGCTTGACACCAAAAGTCTCTCTAGCATGCTTCTCGGTTCTGCGCGAGCAGCACGGCTTTTTAAACATGCAATTTCTCAACCTCCGCCTTTTTTTTTTTTTTTTTTTTTCTTCTTTCTCCTGTAAACCCACTTTGCCATGGACACAGACCTCTCTCCGCCCAAGGTCTACGCCTACGACGAAGTGCCAGAAAACAAGTCCTGGGCCGCAGCCCTCCCTGTGGCCAAAGGCTTGTACAACCCAGAATATGAAAAAGACGCCTGTGGTGTTGGTTTCACCTGCCACCTCAAGGGCTCTGCTTCCCACAAAATCGTCAGCGACGCCAGAAACCTCCTCTGCAACATGACCCACCGAGGCGGTGAGTTGAACCCCAAGGACGGAGACGGTGCTGGTTTGATGCTGTCGCTTCCACACAAGTTCTTGCAAAGAGAGTTCAAGTACCACTGCGACGTGGACTTGCCGCCATTGGGCCAGTACGGTACCGGTAACGTTTTCTTCAAGAAGGACGAGGCCGTGTACGAGAAGTCCCGTAACACTTTTGAAAATATCGCTTCTTCGCTTGGTCTCCGGGTTTTGGGCTGGAGAGCCGTTCCTCACGATTCGTCCATTTTGGGCCCCGCCTCTCTCTCCAGGGAGCCCTTGATTTTGCAGCCAGCGGTGGTGCTTGCGGACGTTTACGGAACAGAGGTGTCGGACGAGGAGTTTGAAAAATTGCACAAGAAGGACTTTGAAAAGAAGTTGTTCATTTTGCGCAAGCAGCTGTCCCACACCATTGGGCTCCACAACTGGTTCTACATCTGCTCGCTCAATGCCAAAACCATAGTCTACAAGGGCCAATTGGCGCCCAACCAGGTGTACGCCTACTACTACGATTTGGCCAATGCCGAGTTCGAGGCCCATTTTGCCCTTGTTCACTCCCGTTTCTCCACAAACACTTTCCCTTCGTGGGACAGAGCGCAGCCGTTGAGAATGGCAGCTCACAATGGTGAAATCAACACCTTGAGAGGAAACAAGAACTGGATGCGAGCCAAGGAGGGCGTGATGCGTTCGGAGTTGTTTGGCGAGGAATTGGAAAAATTGTACCCGATCATCGAGGAGGGCGGTTCCGACTCGGCGGCCTTTGATAATGTGTTGGAGTTGTTGGTGATCAACGGCGTGCTCTCCTTGCCTGAGGCCGTCATGACCATGATTCCCGAGGCCTGGCAGAACGACAAGAACATCGACATGAAGAAAAAGGCTTTTTATGAATGGGCCGCTTGTCTCATGGAACCCTGGGACGGTCCTGCCTTGTTCACCTTTGCCGACGACAGGTACTGTGGTGCCAACTTGGACAGAAACGGTTTGAGACCGTGCAGATACTACATCACCGACGACGACAGGATCATCTGTGCGTCGGAGGTGGGTGTGATTGACATTGAGCCGGAGAAGGTGTTGCAGAAAGGCCGTTTGCAGCCAGGCAGAATGTTGCTTGTGGATACCAAGGAAGGAAGAGTGGTGGACGACCGTGAATTGAAGCAGTCTGTGGCGTCCCGGTTCGACTTCAAATCGTGGGTTTCCGCCAACATGATCACGCTTGACGACCTCAATGCCAAGTTGACCGACAGGGAGATTGACCTTGAGCACCAGATCGAGGAGACTGCTGGAAACATCACCGTGCAAACAGACCCCCGTTTGGTGGCATTCGGCTACTCCCACGAGCAGATCTTGAACATTCTTCTGCCTATGGCCGAGGGCAAGGAAGCTCTTGGATCCATGGGTAACGATGCCGCTTTGGCCTGTGTTTCTGAACAACCCCGTTTGTTGTACGAGTACTTCCGCCAGTTGTTTGCCCAAGTCACAAACCCTCCCATTGACCCGATCAGAGAGGAGATTGTCATGTCGTTGGAGTGCTACGTGGGACCCCAAGGCAATCTTTTGGAAATGAAGCCCGACCAGTGCAACCGTTTGTTGTTGAAGTCGCCAGTTCTCTCCACGGGCGAGCTCAATGCCATCCGGAACATCGAAAAAGTCTACCCCAAGTGGTCCATCACCACCATCGACATCACCTTCGACAAGACCGAGGGCATCCAGGGCTACATCAACAAAATCTCGGAAATCTGCCAGGACGCCTCCAAGGCCATTGCCGACGACCGCAAAATCATCATTTTGTCTGATAGAGCCACCTCGTTCGACAGAGTGCCCATTTCTGCCTTGATCGCTACCGGTGCTGTGCACCACCATTTGGTCAGACAGAAGCAGCGTTCCAAGGTGGCCATTCTTTTGGAAACTGCTGAAGCCAGAGAGGTGCACCATGCTTGTTGTTTGGTGGGCTACGGTGCCGACGGTATTAATCCATATTTGGCGATCGAGACGTTGATCCGGATGAAGAACGAGGGCTTGTTGAAGAAGCAGTTTTCCGACGAGCAGCTTGTCAAGAACTACAAGTACGCCGTGGACGCTGGTATTTTGAAGGTCATGTCCAAGATGGGTATTTCCACCTTGGCGTGCTACAAGGGTGCCCAGATCTTCGAGGCGCTTGGTATTGATAATTCGGTCATTGATCGTTGTTTCGCCGGCACGGCGTCCAGAATCAAGGGTATCACTTTCGAGTACATTGCCCAGGACGCCTTTTCGCTTCACGAAAGAGGATACCCTACCAGGGAGACTGTCAAGCCTGTGGCGCTTCCAGAAACCGGCGAGTACAACTGGAGAGACGGCGGAGAAAAGCACGTTAACGACCCTGCTGCCATTGCCTCGATGCAAGACGCCGTCAGAAACAAAAACGAAAAAGCCTACGACGCCTACTGCAAGAAGGAGTACGAGGCCATCAAGAACTGTACGCTCAGAGGGCTTTTGGACTTTGACTATGAGGGTGCAAAACCAGTCCCAATCGACCAGGTCGAGCCCTGGACGGAAATCGTTCGTCGTTTTTTCACCGGCGCCATGTCGTACGGCTCCATTTCCATGGAGGCCCACTCCACGCTTGCCGTTGCCATGAACAGATTGGGTGGAAAGTCCAACACCGGAGAAGGTGGTGAGGATTCCGCCAGGTCCCAGGTCAACGCCAACGGCGACACGATGCGGTCAGCCATCAAGCAAATTGCGTCTGGTCGTTTTGGTGTGACGTCCTATTATTTGGCGGACGCCGACGAGTTGCAGATTAAAATGGCCCAGGGTGCCAAACCTGGAGAAGGTGGAGAGTTGCCAGGCCACAAGGTTTCAGAGCTGATTGCCAAAACAAGACACTCGACGCCCGGCGTGGGTTTAATTTCGCCTCCGCCCCACCACGATATCTACTCGATCGAGGACTTGAAGCAGTTGTTGTACGACTTGAAGTGCCTGAACCCCAGAGCGAGAACATCGGTCAAATTGGTTTCTGAAGTTGGCGTGGGCATTGTCGCTGCCGGTGTGGCCAAGGCCGGCTCGGAAAATATTCTTGTTTCTGGCGGTGACGGTGGCACTGGTGCTGCCAAATGGACGTCCATCAAGTACGCTGGATTACCCTGGGAATTGGGTCTTGCCGAATCCCACCAAACTCTCGTTTTGAACGACCTCAGAGGCCGTGTGATTTTGCAGACGGACGGCCAGATCAAAACAGGCCGTGACATCGCCATTGCGTGCTTGCTAGGTGCTGAAGAATGGGGTTTTGCAACCACTCCGTTGATCGCCATGGGCTGTATTTTCATGCGCCGTTGTGAGCTCAATGTGTGTCCCGTGGGCATTGCCACCCAGGATCCAGAGCTTAGAAAGAAGTTCCAGGGCACTCCAGAACATGTCATCAACTTCTTCTACTACATGGCGCAGGAGTTGAGATCGTACATGGCCAAGTTGGGATTCCGGACCATCAACGAGATGGTGGGCCGTACGGAGGTGTTGAAGGTCAGAGACGACTTGAGAAACACCAAAAACGCCAATATCGACTTGCTGCCTATCTTGACGCCAGCCCACACTATCAGACCCGGTGTGGATACCTACTGCGTGAGAAAGCAGGACCACCGTTTGCACGTCAGAATCGACAACAAGTTGATTGACGAGTCCGAGGTGACGTTGGAGAAGGGCTTGCCTGTGACCATCGACTGCAATGTCGTCAATACTGACCGTTCCTTGGGTACCACCTTGTCGTACAGAGTCTCCAAGACGTTTGGTGAGCAAGGCTTGCCTCACGATACTATCCACGTTAACGTCAAGGGTTCTGCCGGCCAGTCGTTCGGTGCCTTTTTGGCGCCTGGGATCACGTTGGAGCTTGAAGGTGATGCCAACGACTACATCGGTAAAGGTCTCTCTGGAGGCCGAATTATCGTGTATCCACCTGCTGGATCGAAGTTCAAGGCGGAGGACCAGATTATCGCCGGTAACACGGCCTTTTTCGGTGCCACGTCCGGTGCTGCTTTTATCCGTGGTGTAGCTGCCGAGAGATTTGCCGTTAGGAATTCTGGGGCCACCATTGTGGCTGAAGGAACTGGAGATCACGGATGTGAGTACATGTCTGGCGGCCGTGTGGTGATTTTGGGCTCTACGGGCCGGAATTTCGCCGCTGGTATGTGTGGTGGTATTGCCTATGTTTTGGACATGGCTCAGGATTTCAACCAGAAGGTGAATGGTCAGACGGTGGAGCTTTCCAGCGTCACAGAGCCTTCGGAAATCGCCTTCTTGAGAGGCTTGATCGAGGACCACCGCCACTACACCGGTTCGGAAGTGGCTGGCCAGATTTTGAACGACTTCAACCGGATCTTGTCCCGTTTCGTCAAGGTCTTGCCTCACGACTACAAGAAGGTGCTTGAGCAGGAGAAGCAGAAGCAGGCGGAGGCCAAGAAGAACGAGTTGAACAGCTTCATGAAGAACATCAAGGAGGACCCCGACTGTGACGCTACTAATGGTGAGGCTGCCAAAATCAAGCATGGCCATGTTCACCGTGCTACAGCCGCCAAGGCCGGATCCAAGGAACCCAAGGTGTTGGATCTCGAGGACACCATCACCAACCCGGAAACGGAAAAGAAGGCCGTGGCCCAGTTGGACAAGCTCCGTGGGTTCATGAAGTACAAGAGGAGAAACGAAAAGTACAGAGACGCCAAGGCCAGAACCAAGGACTGGAACGAAATGACGTCCCGGTTGACCAAGGACGAGCTCAAGCACGAAACCGCCCGTTGCATGGACTGCGGTGTGCCCTTCTGTACTTCTGATACTGGATGTCCTATTTCCAATGTCATTCCCAAGTGGAACGAGTTGGTGTTCAAGGACAGATGGTACGACGCCTTGCAGCGGTTGATGATGACCAACAACTTCCCTGAATTCACGGGCAGAATCTGCCCTGCTCCTTGTAACGGTGCCTGTGTTTTGGGCATCAACGAGGACCCTGTGAACATCAAGTCTGTGGAATGTGCCATTATCGACCACGGATTCGAACAAGGCTGGATTAAACCAGAGCCTCCAACCCACAGAACCGGCATGTCTGTTGCTGTGATTGGCTCGGGTCCTGCTGGATTGTCTGCAGCTGACCAGTTGAACAAGGCAGGCCACAAGGTGACGGTTTATGAAAGAGCAGACAGACCGGGTGGATTGTTGATGTACGGTATTCCCAACATGAAGTTGGACAAGCGTCTTGTCAAGAGAAGAACGGATCTTTTGGCTGCGGAAGGTATTGAATTTATTTGCAACACCGCCGTGGGCGACGACATTTCTGTGGAGCAGTTGCAGTCGTCCAACGACGCTGTGATTTTTGCCGTTGGCTCCACCATCCCTAGGGACTTGAACATCCCCGGCAGAGACCTCCAGAACATCGACTTTGCCATGAAGCTCTTGCACTCCAACACCAAGGCGCTTTTGGACAATACTCTCGAGGAAATCCGCAAGCAGGTTTCTGGAAAAGACGTTATCGTCATTGGAGGCGGAGACACCGGTAACGACTGTTTGGGTACTTCCACCAGACACGGCGCCAAGTCCGTCACCAACTTTGAGTTGTTGCCTACTCCTCCAGATGCCAGACCAAAAGACAACCCATGGCCTCAATGGCCTCGTGTTTTTAGAGTCGACTACGGACACTCGGAGGTGGCTGCTCATTACGGCAAGGACCCCAGAGAGTACTCTATTCTCTCGAAGGAGTTTGTCGATGACGGTGAAGGAAACGTCAAGGGCATCAAGACCGTCAGAGTCGAGTGGAAGCGTTCTGACTCTGGCGCCTGGCAGATGGCCGAGGTGCCTGGATCCGAGCAGTTTTTTGCAGCCGACATTGTGCTTTTGTCGATGGGTTTCCTTGGTCCTGAAACCGACAAGCTTTCGGTGGACAAGACCAAGCGAGGCACCATTTCCACGGCCGACCCTAGTGGTTACCGTGTGTCCGGCCAGGAGAACCTTTTCGCTGCCGGCGACTGTAGGAGAGGCCAGTCGTTGGTGGTCTGGGGTATCCAGGAAGGCCGCCAGTGTGCTCGTGAGGTGGATAATTATCTTATGGGTGCTACGAGGTTGCCAGGAAACGGCGCTGTGGAGCAGAGAAACTTCAAGTTGTTGGAGGAGCTTGCGGAGAAGGTCTGAGCGGCTTGAGGTTGAAGTATATAGCCCGGCTGGGCAGTTTCGGCTGGGCACTTTTGATTTAGAATACATATTGGATAAGTGGGAGGTGTAGGTGGAGAGAGTTGGAGGGTACAATTGGATGGGTGTGTTCGAAGGTTTCTGTGATGCAGCTAAACATGTTGTATTGTTCTACTTGCTGTATAGTTGTAGATAAAGATGGCTGTACATGTTGTATGGATTCAATTCGAAGAATGGCCAGTTTAGTTTAATGATGAGATACAGCTTGTGATGTTATCACCGTTATTGCACGATTCTATGTTGGTGTTGGCGAGTTTCAATGGTTGGGCAGCTTAAAATTAATTACTAGCCTCTTCAGGCGTCAAAAGTACCTTTTGAAGCTTCTGGTGAGGGCCATCTCCAATGATGCTTCTGAAGAAACAGTCCAAATATTCTGCCAGAGTTGACGTGCACCATACTTACTAATTGTATTCAATGGTGGTTATTTTTTTTTTTTCATAGTTGGTTTCTCTTCATTTGAGTAGAAAAGACCATCTCTATAGAAACAACCTTCAATACGATCTGATGTTTCTCAATTTCACGAGACAGGTCAGTTTCCGAACGTCTTATTGTGATTATCAACCGATAGGATATATCTGTCACACGGCCTTCTTCAACTGACGTTTCAGAAGGGGCGAAAGGGTGTGATGATGTTCATGACTTGATTCATGCGATTCATCTGTCTACTCTCTGAAAGATTTGGTCACCTCTGAGCCTCCGTTTCCCAGATGACGTCAGACACTGGAGCTGTCCGAAACCTATGAGTCTCCAATAACTGGCATCTCCAGTAATACCAGCACGCTCTTTCAAAACACTCAAACTCTCCAATCATCAAGAACAGCACCCAAATTCTCCAATGATCAAAACCAGCACCTCAGCTAATTGAAGACAATTCAACTGTCGCTTCAATTGCAACCATCAAAAACTCAACCTCCCATCAACCACCTTACAACATCTACATCCCCACCAATCTCTCACCAACCTCCCTAGACTCAAAACCCCAACGGCTGCAAAACCACTTTTGATGTTTTCCGCTTTCGGCGGCCCGCAGAGAGGCTGAAGGGTGTTTACGAGTGTGTGTTTTGCCTAAAAAGCTTATTGGCGAGGTCTCCATATACGGAAGTCCGACGCAGCGTGCTCGAAGCCTCCTTCATTGTACGATTTTTCAACAATGGAAAACGAGTCAGTTTTAGGCATCGTCAGGGAAGCAAAACAGAATGCGTTTAGAGCGGCTTGCGGAGCGTTTTTGTTATTGTTTGTGCGAGGCCTTTATTAGTTAGTTCGTTGACTCGGTCTAGCGCTCTACATATTCGTCAAGGTCTCGAAGAGGAAGGCACAACAGTTCTAGATGCCATGGCCCCTGGAAATAAAAAGTGATCATGGAAGGATTTGGACAATTAAAATAAATTAAAGAAAAAGAGCAAAGTGAAGACTGATAATTTGCAGCCATTACGGTGGCTTCCATGTGTGGTTAAGCCCACACGCAACATCCTTTAAATCAGCAAATTCAATCAGATTTGTTTCACAAAACCGTCTCCCAAACCCTATCCTACACTTTTCAGATCACCATTCCTACATACCCATCGGTATTACCTCACGTGGGCTTAAAGCATCACCTCTAATTTGTCAAAATCGACAACCTTTTGATCCGTCACTACTGGCACCAAAGAAGGTCATTCTACACATTCTGCACCGCCTCATTAACCTGAAACACCTTCTGAAACAATAAAGAGAACAGGGCCCAATTGTTGCGAGGGAGGAACGTTTCTTACCCGTTGTAGGGGAAAGAACAATCGGGACGGCCGCCCAGGTGGTGCTTCTAAAAATAGAACCACCGATGGACGCACGCAGGCCCGAGAAAAGCAGGGAAAAAACCTGCCACACTACAAGGGCCTTGCGAGAGTATGGCCAAATCACATCGGGATCAAAAAAAGGACCCATTTTTCGTCGTCATTCACTCCAAAAGTTGCCTTCCAACAGTGGGTGATGGAAGAGTGCATAATTACGGACAATGCACACAGGCCTGCCCTCGGAAGTCGCATTGTTGTAGTGGACCGTACTGCACACAGCGCGAAGCCATGCTCGGCCGCTGCATTAGCACGACGCCGTCGCCGAATCAGGATATGTTATTGGCAGCGTCACTTTCGCCCGAGGGCAGATAAGCAGGAAACTTGAACCATCCCTACAACCTTGAGGGTCCATGAAGGTCGAATATTCCTTGGTGTAAGGGTGTGTCACCTGACGCTATACCCAAAGGGTAATCGATGCCAGCCTCTTCACCCAAAAATTCCCCAATCGAACACCTCCTAAATTCTATGAAATCCCAAATTACAAAATCCTCTTATTTTCTGTTCCAGTGGAGCTCCGTTGCGGCGCAGATCAGACAAATGCCCCTTTTTGTTGGTTGCGGTTTCTCGGCAGTTGTAGGACAGGGCGGCTGGCTGTCGATAAATTGAGGCATTTGCGCAAACACAAGAATGAAGGCGCAGCTCCGGGAGAACCTGGGGTAAATGGCTTTGAAAAAATAAAAAGATTACGAGTGATAAGAGGAAAGTCACTGGCCGGTTTCAGCAGGATCCTTGTTTCATCCCTGGTTTCATGCTGAAACCTAGTCGCCGTTTAGGTGGTGGGGCATGAGACGCTGAAAAATGTGGATAACCTCAATACCAGCTTTCTCCTTGAAGCTCTTTCCGCTCCTTCACTCCTCAACTCCTTCTACTCCTTCTCACTTCCGCTCTCCTTATCTATGGGGCTTGCTCCGTTTGCAGCCATATTATTGTGGCTTGACCTCGGGGTTTTGGGTCCTTCGCATTGCCTTATGGAGCTATCAAATAAGCTTTGAATAAGCCATACAGAGCTAGCCAAAAAGCCCTTCATAAAACGTAAAGCCAGGGCCTCGGTTAGACACACTTTTGCGTTAATCGCTCGACTATAGCCGCCAGGTTGGTCTTGGAATCACAAAATCAGCCTGCCACTTGCTCCCTGGTCCTGTCTATGCCGTGTCGTTTAACTGAGACACCGCCTCGCGGACACACTACTACTATTTTCCATACTTTCTGTTTTCTGATTCTTTATGCCTATCATGCCTTTTATTCTTGCTTTGCTATTAATTAATGGGTGTCCAGAGGAACCCCCGGAAATGGGCCCACCTGCGTAAGCGGGGCTGTCGCCCAAGCCTGCCCTCGGAAGACACTGCTTCTTTTTTTTTTTTGTTGTATTTGTTACCCTCGGAAGTCCCTCCTCCCGCATACGCACACAATCCGCTCGTGAGCTCTCCATAGTTGCATCTGCAGTTGCATGCTGAGTGTTTTTCTCCCCTCCTGCCCGGAACTCGCCCCACAAGTATAAATAGGATCCATGCCCGCCTCACTTTAGCCTTCTCTTTTTCTCGATTACAACCCGTGTTTCTGCTTGTCCCTCGCTATGCAATTCAAGTCCTTGTTTGCTGTGGCTGCCCTCTCCGTGTTCGCCGTCGCCAATAGTATGTTTTCCTTCCTTTGATTTCTCGTCTCCTGACGGTCACAACCACTACAATTATCGAAAAGGCCGATGCCTTTATAAGGATGATCGAATCAGTGCTCCTTAATCACCACATCGTATATCCAAAATAGCCACCCTGAGCCCCTTCAGCCGACCCCTTCAGCCCAGTCAAAATTCCAGATCAATCGCCGTTTCCGACCGCCCAGCCTGGGCGGATGTGGCCCTCGGTGGATCCGGGTGCTCGCCTGCCTAATGCGGACGTAATTGATGCGTTTGTTTTGGTGCGATGCACACGCACACGCAGACGCCCTGCGCCTAATCAGCACCTTCTCGGATGCTTTTTTTTCCGGCTGATTGATCCGCCTTCCGTTATGGGAGCCAGGTAAATACAGATCGCCGACCCGACAGATTTTTCTCCAAACACACAATGGTGGGTCCTCCCTGCACACAAACCGCCAGCGGCCGCCCTCCCTTGTTCAGACTGCCCAGGAAATCAAGAAAAACGCCCCTTTAGGCAATTGTACTAACCGCCAGACTCTACTTTGACCACCGCTACCCCTTCGGTCTCCAGCGGCTGTTCTTTCAGTGACTTCACCGCCACCGAAAACGGCCAGGTCCAGTCCGTCCAGGCCTGTGCCACCGCCGTGGGTGACGTTTTCATCTCCGGCTCCAACATCGACCAGATCGACTTGACCGGTGTCCGTGAATTCTACGGTGACTTGAAGATCAACGGCACCAAGGCCACCGTCTTCAACGCCCCAGACTTGCAATTGGTTTCTGGTGAGTTGTCCGTGTCCCAGTCCACTCTTTTGGGTACCGCCAACTTGGCCCAGTTGACCACCGTCGGTACTTTGAACTTTGACGGTTTGCCATCTTTGGAGAAGACCGGCTTGGCTTCCGGTATCACCTCTGCCGAGTCCATCACCATCTCCAACACTGGTTTGCACTCTCTTGACGGTATCAACGTCTACAAGTTGAAGGTTTTCGACGTGAACAACAACGCCGACATTGAGTCCATCGACTCGGCTTTGCAGTCCGTCACTGACCTTTTGCAAATTAACTACAACGCCGACAAGGTCGAGGTTGTCTTGGACGAGTTGACCTCTGCCAACGACGTTGTGTTTGAGAAGATTTCTTCTCTTTCCACCGCTAACTTGACCTCCATCAACGGTTCTCTCTCCATCTCCAAGAACAGCTTCGACAGCTTCGAGTTCAAGGAGCTTACTCAGATTGGCAAGTCTCTCTCTATCAACGAGAACGACGAGTTGGAGGAGTTTGACTTCCCTAAGTTGAAGTCTATTGGTGGTGCTTTGAACATCCTCGACAACGAGAAGCTCAAGTCTTTCTCCTACTTCCCTAAGTTGGAGACCATTGGCGGCTCTGTCAACATTGACGGTGACTTTGACAACGGAACTTTCCCAGAGATCAACAGAATCTCTGGTGGTTTCAACCTTTCCACTTCCGGTGACTTGTCTTGTGACGACTTCACCAAGTTGAACTCCAACGGTGACGTCAGAGGTGACAAGTTCTACTGTCGTGGTGCTTCTTCCACCGTTTCTTCTTCTTCTTCCAAGAGCGGTAACTCTAACGGTGAGTCCACCTCTTCTGGTGGTTCTGGTTCCGGTTCCGGTTCTGGCTCCGACTCCACCTCCACTTCTTCTGGCTCCAGCGCCGCTGGCATTGCTGGTGTTTCCACCTCCTTGGTTCTTTTGGTCACCTTCGTTTTGGCCTTCTCCGGCGTGGGTGTTGCCATGTACTAAGAGCTAGAGCATTGATTATTACTGCGTGGATGTGACATTAAAAAACCTGCTGCTCTGACAGCCTCTGGCTGCAGCTTTGCGGCCCCTAATATTTGTTCTTCTTTCGCCTGCTTATGTTTCGTTTCGTGGTACTTCCAACTTTGTTGTTACGAACACGCTTTAATATAGTCCATCGCGTTATCGTCTGTAGAAATATGAAAACTATGAAGACAAGTGTAGGAGATAAAAGGATGATGTTTTACGAGCAGTTGTGGCATTCCTTCCTTGAAAGTTATGGGGTGTGTTTCAGATTATGCGGTTTGATAATATTAAGCGAGGGTGCGTTGGTTTCGGCTACTGGATAGCTGCGGCGGTTTCATGTTTCCACACATGTTTCAGAGTTTCATAGTTTCCATACATGTTTCAGAGTATGTATGAAGCTGATTCCAGGAATTCCCGTATCAAGCGTGCCTCGTGGTACCAGTCCGAATCCGGAATACCCTAACAATGGCTCCGATGCAGCTTTAAGGTTTACACGCATTAACCAACGGCTATACTGCTTCAACTTCAAGAAACGGTTTCATGAGACGTTAGACATCAAACAGGTTGCATTTCTGTAGATGAAATATCATAACCAGAATCACACTGCCCGACTTGGTTTGGCCTCTTTGCCGACCTAGATGCAAGAAGAGCCGAGATGGCGAAATACCTCGTCAAACCCATCACAAAACAGCCGCATCTTGCTACATTTAATATTTTCTTTTTTTCTCACACCAACAACTCAATGTCTTCAAGAAACCAATTCAGAAAAAACATTGGCTCCGTCGGACCTATCGGTGAACCGTTCCTCAACGGTGTTCCCCATTTCGGCGGTAACTTCACCATTCCCTTTGCTCTTTGCGACAAGGATGAATACTTGCTTTGGCTTTTCCATGTCATCGGCCAGATTAGGTCCCAATACGGCCCCCATATTACCAAATACATCGTGGAATACATCCATGGCAACGACGTTTTGGAGGAATTGCCAATAGACCTCGCAGAACAAATCATGATCCGTAATTTGGCCAAAACTTTGATCAGAGTCATCCTTGCCTATGGCGTTTGTATTATCTACAACCAGCAGTACTGTGACCTCGCCCTCGGGCCCTTGGACTGTTTGAGAAAGTTTCACCAGAACTTCTGCAAGTACGAGCTTTCGGATGTCGAGGAGTGGTTCAGCAATTGGGCTGTGATTATGACGAAGTTGCGTGCTGAGGGCGAAATCGAGGTTTATGAATTTTCCAAGCAAATCAATGGCTTCACCGATGAGGAATTGGAGCTTTTCGACAACATGTCTACTGGCTTGTACGATAAGAAGGGACTCATTCGTCGTTACTTCCAGGGCCTTGATTCTGACGTTCTTGATCTTTATCCAAGAGCTGCTGCGTTCCTTTTGAAGGACAGACAGCCAATTCTTTTCGAAAAAGCCATTGACTTGTCTTGGTTCCTCAGCAAGCCATTGAGCGAGGCCGTGGGTCCAGAGGAGGACTTTTGAAGGCAACTGGAGTCGTCTATACGATAATATGAGCAAATGAACAAATGATACAATTGAAACATGTAAGAGAGGAGAGCTGAAACGTGCTTCTTTTGGGTGTAGGTATTTCGATGAGTCTGCAACTCATCACCCCGTGCTGCAGTAATGAGCAGTATCAGGGTAAGACAGGCTTGATATTATAATAATCCAGACCTCTAACATTGGAATCTGCTTCGACAAGTAATTCTTTGAAGAACATAATTATTCTTACGGTGTGGATCATGGGGGACATTTTGGAGAGGCAGTTTTCGAGATCAACAAAATGATCTCGCAGATCCCACAAACCCAATTGCTGAAAAACGCTAGTATTTGAGCTCCACGCTACCAATTGCCTCCATCGGTGCTGTTTCAGACATGTTTCAGAATATTCTGGTCGATGCGCAGTAGTTTATAATTATGCACCCCAGGAAGCTGAAAATTCCCCCGCATACTTTTTAACAATCAGGGGTTGATTGTCTCAGAAGGCTTGAGGAACTATCTGAAGAAAAATTTATTCAATTGAGACGCACAATTATCAAATTTTCCCTGAAGTACTTACAGTAGATGTACCATCTAGAATTGGTAGGCATCTCAGACAGTAGACCTCTCATTTTCTGAAACATCCATAATGCCTAGAGACTTTAAATAAGCAACCGGGGACATATACCGAAGGGTATTCTCCTCATGCAATATACAATTCCATTATACGATAAAATTCGCCTATATAAGGACCACGTTCCCCTGAAATCTTCCCCAATGATTCAGTCTTCCATCTTACACGAGTCAGAATATATAGGCAGCGTCTCCACATTCGGTGAGCCGTTCCTCAACGCCGTTCCAGGATTTGGTGAAAACTTCACCATACCTTTCGCCCTCGGCAGCAAGGATGAATACTTACTCTGGCTTTTCCATTTTATGGGTCAACTAAAAACCCAGTATGGCGAGAATGTTGCCAGGTATGTTGTGGAGTATATCAATGGCGACGACCTTGCATTGCACACTTTGCCAGCTGACGAAGAAGAAAAAGAAAAAATCTTCGCTTTGGCCAGCTCCGTCGTTTATAGCACCCTCGGTTACGGTGTTTGCATGGTTTATAACATGAAATACTGTGACACTTCAATGAGGCCGATGAACTGTTTGAGAAAGTTTCATCAGGAGTTTTGCAAGTACAAGCTTGAGGATCTTGAAGAGTGGTTCGGTAACTGGGCGTATGTGTTGCAGACATTACGGGATGAAGATCAAAATGAGGCTTACAAATTTGCTCTAGAGCTCAATGGGTTTACTGCCGAGGAAGTGGAACTCATGAAGGAGATTCAGGCTAACAATGACGAAAAAAGAGAACTTATTGCCCGTTATTTGGAAAACAGTGGTTCTGACTATATCGATCTTTCGAAAAGAGCGTATGATGTCAATTCAAAACTTGGAAGTCCTCCACTCCACAAGAAGGCGGTTGACGGTTCGTGGTTTCTCAGTAAGCCCAAGAGATTGGCGCTGGCGCCATAGTGGGACATTGGAGATATGTTTTTTGAAGAATATATGGGTGTTTTGTTAATTAATGAACAATGGAGAAGGCAGCAAAACTATTCATTTGAGTAGATTTGTGTTTTAATGGTTTATGAATAATAGAATGTAGAAATTCTATTAACTTGAGGAGATTGAAAAGCAATTGGCGTTTACCTTTAGATCTGGTTGAATCGAATCTATATTCCACCTGTATTGGTATGAAACACTCAGGTTACGAATTTCATAAGTATAATTCTCGACGAATGGCAAACCATAACGCAAAAATCATAGTTTCTTAAATTTTATTAAAATCTGAGTCTCCTCTCATCTTCCTCTACTATCCTAATCCTAGTAGTCTCCTTTTCCTGTCTCAACCAATGTATCTCACCATCCACTGCCCTCTTTCTTCACCACAAAAATCCCCAGAACCAATGAAAATCAACTACCCCCAAAAACAATAACCCTTCAATTTTTTCTTAACCACCGTCCAGACCGATCCAGAAAAACCGGGTCGACTCCCCCTTGGCGACCTGCACACAGCACCAAGATATCCTACGAAATCCCTCCTGACGGGTTATCAACACTTTTTACTCTCATGAAGCTTTCCACATTTGCCGTTGTCGGCGCTTCTGTGCTATCTGTCCATGCAGCCGCTGAAAAGCGTGATCCCAAGAATGTCGCTGCTTTAGATGAACTTCTTCAGGCTTATGAGAATGACCACCACAATGAAAAGAGGAAAAATGTCGCCTCTTTAGAAGACCTTCAACAGGCTTACGATGAAGATCACCAGAATGCAAAGAGAAAGAACGTTGCTGGTTTGGACGACCTTCGCCAGGCTTACGCTGAGGACCATCCGATCGAAAAGAGAAAGAACGTTGCTGCTTTGGAAGAGCTCTTGCAGGCTTACAAGGAGGACCATAAGAAGCAAAAGAGGAAGAATGTTGCTGCTTTAGAGGAGCTTTTTGCAGCTTACAAAGAAGACCATCCAAATGAGAAGAGAAAGAACACTTTCAACGTGGCTCATTTGGAGGAGCTTCTTCAGAAACATAAAAACGAAAAGAGAAAGAACACCTTCAACTTGGCCCACTTGGAGCACCTCCTTCAAGAGGCACAAGAGTCTGCAGAGAACGGTAAGAGAGACGCCCGCAGAGTGGTGAACCCCAAACTGTTCTTTGAGCTGAAGAACCATGAAAAGCGCTCCCAGAACGTCATCACCTTCCTGGGTCCTTTGGTGGAGAACGTGCTCACCCAAGTCAGGGACGTGTCTGTCATTGCTGGATACTTGAGAGACCTGGAGTCGCTCTTGGACCAGTTGCACAAGGCTCCATTTGCCGTGATTATTGCTCCTACTGACCACGCTTTGGCCAATAAGTTGAACGGCCACAAGCCATGGGAATTCCCAAGAGACCCTGAGAACGAAGAGGACGCCGAGAAGAACATCAGTGATTTCGTCAAGGCCCACTTGGTCAAGTTCGAGGGTGATTTTGAGGAGATCGACAGCGAGGTCAGTCTTCATTCGTTGAGCGGCCAGAAGGTCGTCATTCGCCACGACGCTGCCACTGACGCTTTCAGCGTGAAGCTGGGCGATAAGTGGGTTGATGTCTTGGCCGTCTACCACGCCGACGATGGTGCCGTTTTGGTTATTGACGATGTCTTTGTCAAGCCATGAGTGCGGAAGACCAACTTAGAGGCTCAGCCGTCTGCGGCTGCCGAGGCTTTACCAAAGCCACGAAATGACGAATTTACGAGAAGATAAGGTGCACCTCGAAAACCCCAGATTCTGGGTGTACCTCAAGGAAGAAGAGTGAATTAACGGCTTGCTCAGCGTGGTATTATTTTGCTGCAACGCCGGAGGGAGACCTGAGGATGGAAACAGGTCCACGAAATGAAAATTCACCAGATTTGAATAATTAAGCAGGGCACGGCCCTGGCAGTTTTTAGTTCTACAATATGATATGTCAACAGTCGAGACCATCAGAAAATCTGCAACAGTAAGCCCGTTCATTATCTTTTTAGTCAACAGTTCTAATTATTCGCTCAACACAGTCACACCCGTCTGCTCATGATTGCTAGAAGCAGCGGTGTATGTGAGCTTCCATTTCACTTTCAACGTCTTATTCGTAGGGTTCTCTATTGTGACGTCTTGAGTGATGTGCCTTGTAGTGTGGCCGTAGATGAGATTACCACTTTGTGGTTTCAAATCCAACTTGCAGCCCTTGGGCACAGCAATAGAAAGTAAGACACCCAGCTTGGTCACGTCCAGGGTGTTGCTCATATACAAGCGAGCCTTGTACAAAGTAGGGGAAGAATCTCTGTGAGGTTCGGCCTCGATCTTGAGACCGTCGGTTTCGATGATGTTCTGGGCATTCTGCTTGCCAGATGTCTGCACCTGGGAGGCTCTAGCCGAGTTGAAAGTGTTGTTGTTGCTTTGAAGTTCAGGGGAAGGCAGTTTGAAGTCTGAGAGGAGATCAAAGTCGAAAGCAGACTTTGTGGCAGGTGCAGATGGCGCAGAAGGTGCAGATGGCGTGGAAGGAGCAGCAGCCTGTTGCTGGAAAACGCTAGAGTTGGACAGCGATGGACCTGTTTGGGCTGGAGCTGGTCCTCCAAGAGAAATAGAACCACCGGCTCCGTAGAGGTCCAATGGGTTGACACCGCCAGCGGTGGAGGAGCTGGTGCTTCCACCACCGAAGTTCAAATTACCCAAGTCACTGAGCAAGTCGTTGTAGCCCTGCTGGTCCTTGCCTGTGGAATCGCCACTGATAGGCTCGTCGTCATCAAAATCAATCAAGTTCAACTCCTTGGCGGCTGCAGCGCCCGAAGCTCCACCGCTGACCTTGATTTGGGCGGCCTGGTCAGCATCGCCTGTCTTCAAGTACTGGTACTTCTGCAACAACTGGTTGATGAAGTCGTTGAGGCCCAAGAGCTCCAGAACATAGGACTCGTCGTCGTTCTCCTCCTCGACGATCTTGGTCACCACCGAGTGCGACGACTTGATCTGGCCGTAGAGCTCCGAAAGCGTCTCGTTGTCGTTGGTGATGCCTCCTCCGGACGATTCCACCGAATTGAGCATCTCAGCGAAAATCTCCGTCTTGCGCTTCAAACGAGCCACGTCGTCGTTGACCTTCTTCTTGTTCTCCTCCGAATTATCCTTGAAACCGGCCATGAGCTTCATCAAGCGGTTGGCCTCCTGGAGATCCTGGGGCTTGCCTCTTCTGATCAATTCTTGCAACTTGGCACTGTGAACGACAGCCTCCTCTTTCTCGATCTCCTCCAAGGACTTGAGCGTGTCGCTTGGATTGAGCACCGCTGCGTCCTCCACGTTCACCTCAGGGAACACGTAGCCCTTGTTGGCCAACAAACGGTGCATATCCCTGATGTAGCCAAAGTCGCTCTTGTACTTGGATGTCTTACAGATAGTCTGGTACCACTCCTCAATCTGAGCCAAGATGAGTCGTTGGACACGCAGGTAGCGCAAGGTGGGCCTCTCGGGGAACTTCTTGACCAACTCGTTCAAGAACTCCTTTCTGGAGATCTGGAGCTGGAAAGGATAGCCACAGTTTTTCACCAAATGGTCCAAAAGAGCCAAGGCCAATTCGGAAGTTTGCGGATCTCTCTGGTTGATGAGTTTCACTACGGCAATGGCCGCCTCACGGGGCAATGACCCTTGTTTGGCATTCACATAGTCACAGATCTCAAGGTTGAGAGCCAAATTGGGTTCTGTAAGGGTGGGTCTGCAAGCCCGGTCTGGGTGTTAGAATAATTCGAATTTGCTTAAAAGCACTGGCACATACATATCCGCCGCAAGAGCTTGGGGTTGATCTTCAGAAGTGAAAACGAGTCTCCCATGGTGGTTCTGGATGAGGTGGTATCGTATCGCTGCTGATGTGCTGGTGATAGTGGTGCACGGGTGTGCCCAGCAACTCGGCTCCCCCAAATTGATTTGTGGGATGAATTTGGCAGAAACGGTGTTTAGGGGTAAGGTTTTTGTTTAAATAAGCTTTTTGGGGTGGCATCTTTGCAATTGAGGCAGTTTGTGATTTTTGGGAGCCTTGCGGTTCGGTGCATATCTTGCAGATCTGACCCATGGCTGCAAATGAGAGATTCCACGAGGGAGTTTGCGGGGTGGCATGGAATGGAAGGGTGGAGGTTTGAAGGGGGGTTTTGACGTGGAGCGAGTTTATTCCGATGGTTGGATGGGAAATTTTTTTGGTGGATCGTGTGATTGGTGGAGCTGATGCGAGATCTCATAGATAAGCCAACGTGGAGCCAATGGGAGGGCAATGGTGGGAGGAGGAAGGTAGAAAGCTTAATTAAAGTAATGAGTTCATTAAAGAAAGAGAAGGGAGAGTTAGTGGTTTTAATTTCTCAAGAGCAGGTCATATAGTGGTAGGTAGATAGACGCAGGGTGGGAGAGATCATAGGGAATCTGTTGAGGTAATTCGTTGATCTTATGAGTCAATGGCGTGAAATCGTACTTTTGTGACCGAAAGCCTCTCTTTACATCTCTATAGAGCTTATATTTACAAACCCATATGAAAATGTAGTTACCATTGGCTACTCATCGTATTCACCGGTTTCTATTACACCGACCGAATAGCTGAACCAGAAGCCCAGAGATGCAATTGATTGGACATTCAATACTTTTAAGTCCAAAAAGCAACATACTGCTTAAAATGACCCCCAATGGCTCAGTGTGCTTGAAATAATCCATCCCCATCACTTCCTCAGGCCTACCATTATGTAGAGCCAGACGAGTCGATAAACAACATAAATGTAAAACCACCAAAAGCCGACTTTTTCAAAAACCCTTCTTCTACAAAATCGGCAAAGAATTCCCCTAAAACACCCTCAAAACCTACAATCACATATACATGTGGCCCAGATCATATGGACCCTTGATCTACACTACATAGCAGGGTCCCCATACCACCAACGTCACAATGTCCAATTTTCTTCAAAAAAGCATTCATATACTCGATTCTACCTTAAATCAACACCTCCCCGTCCAAATTCCCAAAATCCCCATCTACAATCACCTCGTAAATACCGTCTTCTAAATACCGTCTTTTTCAGCACCCCACATATTCTCACCGTGCGAACTACTCTTCTTATGGACGACGACCCTCTAAGAATCAAGGACCTCGCCGTCAGCTATGACTACCTCATGTACAAGATCCACGACCACATAGCGCTGCTTCTGGAAACCACCTTCTCGCTGGTCGAGTCCAAACAACGTCTTATCGAACAGGACTACTTTCAGCAGCAGCTCCAGTTGGACAAGAACATTGCCGATGCTCAGGCCTTGCTTGATCAGTGTGATGACTTGGAGCTCCAGTTCATGAAGCTTGACCAGCTCTATCTGTTTGTGGACGATTTTAAGGACAGGGTGGCCCGTCTAGAAAAGGAGTTTGACGCGTTGTAGCCCTCTACACTTTCTGTATCGGGTTATCTCGCAGGTACTTCTCCACAAGATGCTTCTCCAAAAGCACAAAGTTCCTCAGGTTACACTTGTACAAGACGTTGATGAAATCGCCCACCACGGGGATAAGACCGATACCAAAGTCGAACGCCACATTGGCCATCATCTTCAGGTGAAGCCCTGGTGGCAAACCTCCTTCGATCTTCAGCGCCTTCTTCACCACCTGAAGGGCAAAAAGCAACGCGATCACGTCGCCAATGCCCGGTATAAGTCCAATGAGCCCCGCCCATCCAATACGAAGTCCACAGAGACTGAGCTGCAAATCCAACCGGTACGCTTTCCGCTTGACCGACCCAAGGATCTTGAGGTCGTGCTTGGGGATGAACTCAGGAAGCTTCCGCTTCCGTCTGGCACCCTTGCGCTGGTAGAAGTGCAAGTCCTGTTCTGGGATCTCTTCATGGTACGGGTCCTCGTCGGGGCCCATGGCGACCAAATGGTCTAGATTTGTCTGAAGTTAGCAAAGTTGAGGGATCCAGTCGGCGATACGTACTTTTTGGAGGAAATATTTGTAGAGAAGCAGTGACATGGTGATGGTGGATTCTGAGCAACCTGCTCAGCCATATTCGCACGTCAGCCGCATGTGCCAAAAGAGCAAGCAGGCTTGGACGATGGGAATTCAGACAAGAGGGGAAAAACGAGATTTATGACATTCCCTTATTGAAGTACTCCACGAGGCGCCATTGTCGGTTTGGTGGCCTCGAAGGTGGGGCTTTGCAGCCATGCAACCGAAGACGCATCAACACGTCAAATGACGTTGCTCCGGTGGCCAGGAACACTGTGGTTCGGATACCTTAATCGGGACACAAAACCTGGGTCTCATAGTGCAGATCAAGGTATTTCCAGGAAATGTCATAAAACCGGTTTGCTAGATGGAAAACGTACTGGATATGCACAGTGCCGGTATGGCCTACTTTCAACAGACCAGCCTACACATCCGCTCGTACACCTTGGCATTATGTATTTATTACTCGTGAATGCATATCTTCGTGAATTACTCTGGCACTCTGTCAGAGGCCTAGATTTTCTTTGCGGCCTTCAACTTGGCAAAGTACTCCTTCCGCAAGTTTCTCAAGTCTGGAGGTTGCTCAATGCCAACTTCACGGCGAAGCTCGTTGATGTCCTTCTCCAAAATGTTCTCCCAGTATACGTTGATCAATGGCTTTGAGTTGAGCCCGCTGCGGATCGCCCAT